TCACATCATGACCTCTGCAATTGTTGGTGTCGAGGTTTGCCGGGTCGACCTGTTTGGGGTTTCTCAGCGCTTCCAATAGGTTATCGTAGTTGTTCCATAATTCGTTTGGTTCTATGTTCGGAAGCATTTTCTGCTTCGTTGCATAATTCGAGGTGCTTTTTGCATTGCTAAAGTTGTCAAAGAAGGATCATTTGAAGAGACTAGACTGACTAAACCCTAAACCCTAAACCCTGCTTCAGGTTGCAAGACAAGTTGTCAGCAAGCTCAGTGAGCAGAAATTGGGGAAATTGGTACTCGACTGCTGATATAGGACCCTTAATAAGTAGAATCGGGCTTTGGGGTCTAAAATGCAACTAGAACTATAAAAAGGAATCCCCCCAAACCCTAAACCCTAAAACCTAAACCCTAACAGTGTTGGTAACTACTCAGGCTCCTACATTAGACCCGACATCTTCAATCCTAAGCCCAACGTCCGACAACCCTCAAACCCTGAACCCTCAATCCCTGAAGCCCTAAACCCCAAAACTCTGAACGGTTTAGGGTTTAGGGGTTTAGGGCTTTAGGGTTTGGAATTTAGGGTTTAAGGTTTTAGGGCTTGGGGTTTAGGGTTTAGGGTTTAGGGTTTTAGGGCTTGGGTTTTTTCGGGTTTCGGGGTCAGGGCTTTAGGGTTTTAATTACTCTTTTCTAGTGTTTGTGAAGTGCTATGATGCAAACCTTACTGTTTTCGTCGCTGCCGCCATTGTTAGCTTTTGCCAGTGGCGCTGTATCAACTGCGCACTTCCATCCTGGTCCCTATGATACAAGACTTGACCACAAGTGTACAAGGAAGAATAGAGTTCAGAGCCCGTTCTTCGTGACTACCAACAAGTTCGTGCCAAAAGCTTTCGGAAAAGCAACCCACATCACGCGCGCCGCGAACGGAAGACACAAAGAACACACATGGTTGGGCCACCCACAAACCTAAACTCTACTCTCCAAGCCGAACCGAAAAAGCTGGAATTTCCCAAACCCCGCTATAACGAAACTTAACCCAAAACCCTCAACCCCTAAACCCTACCCTAAACCCCTAAACCCTACCTACACCCATACGCCAACAAAAGCCATGCACCCAAAGGCGCCGATGCGCCGAACTTCTTGGGCCGCAGCGCCCTCGAGGGCCAGCGTTTGGGCCACAGTCCTCTCTTTTAAGGGTTTAGGGTTTAGGGTTTAGGGTTTAGGGTCCTATAAGGCCTAGTGGGTTGCCGGGTACTTGGGGCTTCAGGTAGTTTAGGGCTAGGGGTTTTTGTGTGTTGCTCCGGGATTAACTGAAAGTGTTAAGGTGTAGGATTGGAGGGTTTAGGCATCAATAGTTTCCTTTCTATTGAAAGGCCCGAAAAGAACACTGAGGTGAAGCCGGGTTACGGCGGAAGCTGGTCTGCCTCGTGCTGGAGGTCGGTTTTTGGTTCATGGTTTGTGGGGCTACCTTTTTTGTTTAAGTGAGTGTTGCTGTCGAGCTTTTGTTCTTCGTTAAGGGTTGTTTTTGCATAGGGACTTTATAACAAGATCTTCGTGTTTATATTAATGGTTAGAGGCCCGCGATGAGGCTGCAAGCATGTATCTGCTGGTGCTTCATTGTGAGATGTCCAGTAGGGCTTTTGATTTCGTTCCTGCGGGGTTGACGTTTTCCAGACGTGGGAAAGACTGATGATTCAGCAACAGCAGCACTACGGACCAGCTATCCTTCCTCTGTAAGCCAGGTAGCCAGGTTTCTAATTACGATTGAGACTGGCGTTGCCCATGGTCATGTTTAGTCTTTGTTGTCGTCGCTAATCGCAGTCCTAGTATCAGTACTTTGCACTGCCGTATTGTCAGAATAAAGAACATTGTTACCCTCAGTCGATCAGGTTAGACTTTGGACTCTGACAATGGCTATAATTGCTGTCCACACTTCCATTTCAACCTTGGTCGTCCTCCCGAAGGTGGACAATGATGCAAGTAAGAAGGACGTAAGACCACGGCCGACAGTCCTCGGTTGAGGGTTTGGGGGGAAAGGTTTAGGGATCGGAGGTGTGGAGGATGCTTCAGCTATGGTTTCCAAATTGCACTGGGCACGGCACAGGAAAACTAGCACTGTTGTTACATGCAGATGTCTGTGTAGCAGTGCCGGTACTACATCGGATACCCGTATTTCCCTAAAGCCCCATACACACCCCTAAGCCCTAACCCCACTGTTACAGTCGGACTTTACCAGACACGCCATAAGACTTCTAAACTTAGGAAACATTTCTTGAACTACCTGTGGGATCCATACGGGGGGCTTTAAATGAACGTCAGCCTAATCTAGGGGTTTTTCTAGTTACTTACACTTTTTTTTTGGGGGGGGGGAGGGGGGTGGGGGGTGGGGTTCCGTATATAATTTCAGTAAAACATACCCCCAAACCCTGTTCTCACTATTAAGGCCCCCACATTACATGGACTATGAGAGCCCTCAGCCTCGAGGCTGCCAGTGTGCCGCTCCATGGTGCGGAGAGCATCTGGAGCACCGGGGGTGCAAAAGCGCGGTTTAGGGTTTGGGGTTTAGGGTCAGAGGTTCATTTTGATGCGAAATCGGGTTCTTCAGGCTACAAGGAGCCGAGAAATCCTAAGGTTTCCTCTTTAGGTAAATCGACTTTAGTATACTCCCAACAGCACCAGTATTTCGGCTCCCATGTTGGATGCAGGCGAAAGTTTGTGGTTTTGCTACCTGCAACATGATTCCTACCCTAGACCCTAAACTATACGGCTTTGTGATGGTGCTTTTGTGAGTACCCTGAGCCCTGATATCCCTTGGAAACCCTGCAGCCCTAAGACCCCCCAAAAACCACCCAAAAAGCACCGAATCCGAAAATTTGGGCCCTGAGCCCTAAAACTCTGCAAAGCCCTAGTAGAGGGGCCTTAGTAGATTTATAGTATAGCGGACCCCAAAACCCTATTCTAATTATTAAGGCCCCTACAGTATAGAGCCCTTATAAAATTCATTCTGGTATTTCTTTTCAGGAACCCCATTCTAATCGTTCAGGTCCCTACCCTAACCCCTAAACCCCTAAACCCTATAAACCCTAAACCCTAAAACCCTAAACATCCCTAAACCCTAAACCTATATTAATCCCGCAACCATCATCTCCCATGAGCATATCTAAACCCTAAACCCTTTAAACTCGAAACCCTTTAAACCCTAAACCCTTTAAGCCGTAAACCCTAAACCCTTTCAACCCTAAACCCTTTAAACGCTTTAAACCCTTTAAACCTTAAACCCCAAACCCTTTAAACCCTTTAAACCCTAAACCCTAAACCTTTTAAAGCCTAAACCCTAAACCCTTTAAGCCCTAAACCCTAAACCCTTTAAACCCTTTAAACCCTAAACCCTTCAAACCCTAAACCCTTTAAGCCCTAAACCCTAAACCCTTTCAAAATTTAAATGTTTCAACCCTAAACCCTTTAAGCCCTAAACCCTAAACCCTAAACCCTTTAAACTCTAAACACTTTAAGCCCTAAACCCTAAACCCTTTAAACCCTAAACCCGTTAAACCCTTCAAACCCTACACCCTAAACCCTTTAAACCCTTTAAGCCCAAAGCCCTAAACCCTTTAAACCCTAAACCCTAAACCCTAAGGGAACTCGGGGCATGAGCAAAGCCAGGGATGAAGAAGAGAGAACCACAGAGTCCCGGTGCCCTCAACCGACATGAAGTTTAGGGCTCAGAAGTTTAGGGTTAAGAAGTTTAGGGCTCGGAAGTTGAAGGTTTAGAAGTTTAGGGTTTAGAAGTTGAGGGCTTGGGGTTTAGGGTTTAGGGTTTAGTGTATGTTGGGCTTTGCTTTGGTGGATGTTTCTAGTGCTCTTTGCGAGTTCTTGTTTAGTGTATGCTTCGGGCGCCTTAAACGGGTGGCTCAAGATACAAGCCTCAAGCCCTACTTTACGTTGAGCCTTGCAGCTACCATTAGCCAGAGCCAACTCCTTGTTTAGGGGAAGTTGTGTACTCACCCTAAACCCTAAACCCCTAAACCCTAAGAACTCCCATCTTATGTCATGTCCCGCAGTGCCTCAACTTCCTGGGTCCTCCAGCGCATAGAGGGAGTGTTGATCGGAAAGGTCTGCCAGTTGGGAGATTCAGAAAATTAGGGTACCTTATTTTTTGGTCCTTATGATAGGGATCCTATTATTTACGGTGCTATATTAGGGTCCCCTATTTTCGGAAACCCCCAGTTCGTTTGCTTCGTTTGCAAACCCTAGCCACTTCAACAGGAGGGATGGGCAATGTGTCGGCTACGTCCGCTCCACTGCCTACGGCCACACCATCGGCAAGTCCATCGCCTATGGCTACGTCGATTGTCCCGAGCCTTGTGCTCAGCTTCGCTCGGAAGACAACGATTTTAAGGGGTCAGGTTCAAATCCTTAAAAAAGCTCCTCTGATGCAGTTCTAAATCCATTAGCATAGATTTGTTTAACAAGCAAGCTTGATGCCTGTACATGTCTAGTTCAAGCCGTGCGTCTGGCTTAGGCTGGTTTTAACGTCCGCCATAGACTGATTCTCGATTCGGGGACGGAGGACGCAATGACCAAGACCAGTGAAGTGATCAGCGCGGCTTGAAGCTTCAAAGCTCGGTTTAGGATTTCAAGTTTAGGGTTTAGGAGCTGCTTGTAACGTGATTGGTTACCTGGCTGTTACCACTAACTAACAACTATCTATGTGTATATATGTATATGTATATATATATATATATATTGAGCATTGCTTACAGCAGCTCTAGCTATCATGGCCTATGCTGTCATTGACCCTCGCCTATTTGGGCAAGTACCGGCTACTTACGAAGAAGGTGTTCATCGAACCGAGAATATCCTCGTATATTTCCCGTGGAATGTGACCATACCTTAACCTGGCGTGTTGTCAGAGGTGGTGCCTTTACAGCTTGAACCTCCGAAAAGTCGCCATGGCGCAGCCATTTTGGTAGAGGCACATCGGAAAGCGAATTGCTGAAGCCCTAATGTCCGGCCGCGTGATGCTGATGGCACTTCTCTTGGCATTCACTGCACAGACATTGGCCCAAGAGACCAAGAACATCAGTACAAAGCAGATGGCGCGGCTGCCCAAGGGCAATGTCAGCCTTGGGCTGAACCGCTCGGTGGCAACATCCCATGACTCCCAGAGCGCCTTGCTACGTGGCACGGCGAACCTCAGTGCGCAGGCCGGAGTGAAAGGTCTGTCGTATACTTCCATTTGTCAGGCATATCAAGCCGCCGATGGGCGAACTGCACGATGGACGGATAAAGATGGTCAACGTCGGTCAATGGAATATGCGGTTGGATCGCGGGATTGTATTGGAAGATGTGGACCCGGTTGCTTTGGCTCCCCCGTTTACACTCAGGAATGCTTAAATCATGATGCATGTGTGGAAAATGAGGGAGAGCAATTCGGAGCATGTGCCGATGAGTGGCTTGCAGCTGCTTATGGGTTTGTTTTTGCACCAAAGTGCTGATTGCGCAGATACAAGATCTGCCCCTCACCAAGGCAGCTGTTATGCAGCAATTAGTGAGCTTGGGTGAGGCGGGAAGCAACGGCAACACGAAGTGTGCCACGCCTGTCTCTTGATTTTGACCTACCCCAGGTTTAGATAGGTCTGGATGTTACTGGACAGATTTACAGATGTGACACAGACCGTTGCGATCAGAGCAGAAACGCGTTTGCTTCGTTGCCGGCCTACATGCGAGGCAGTCCTCGCGACTTGAGAGTTGGCATTGAAAGGCTCTTCAAAGCTTGACATTCTTGAGCATTTGCTTGTCAGCCCTCAAATCATGACATTCTTGTGAACTTGCAAGTCAGTCTCCGAAGCAGTTGGGCAATCAACATCAACGCATCTCAGATGAGAGAGACCACATCCTCACGACGAAGAAATTTTAGGGTTCAAGATTTCATGTCCTTGTTCTCTTTTGTGCTTCTACGAGTATGCCGCCATTCAGAAGCAGACCAATGGTTCAAACTCAAAGTCAGGATATAAAGCAGCACTTGGTAGCTCAGCGCTACCTCTCGGACACTAACTAGTATGCAGCTATTTTTTGTGACAGGATTGCGATGGCATAGAACAGGCATGGAATTTACAGGGACCCTACAGAAAAGTAGGTTTTCGTAGGTCAAGGTACATCATAATCCTACTCATCGACGGTGGACCGGCTTCCTGCCTGGCAACTTGTTGACATAGATGTGTAGCACGACGGTTTCGTGATTCGCGCAGGCAGCCACCCGCAAGACATGGAACCCTAAACCCGAAACCCTAAACCCTAAATCCCTAAACCCCTAAACCCCTACACCCTAAACCCTAAACCCCTAAACCCTAAACCCTAAACGGCTCTCAAGGCAGATCTTCAGCGCACTCAGGTAGAATCATAACTGTAAGCCCTAGAAATCCCAGAGAAATCTGGCAAAGCTGGATCCCCACGCCAGCCCCAAACTAAGCCTAACCCCCCTAAGCCCTAGAGTGCCCTTATGGATCCCTCATAGGAGCCCTATATATATATATATATATATGTATGTATACATACTTCCTATTTAAGGGTCTACACCCCTAAACCATAAACATTAACTTAACCCCCATGCCAAGCTTGGAACAGGTCTGAGGCAAAGATTACCAACAAGTGGCTGGAGGCCGGTGATTGGCACGTCGGAGACGCCCGTCGGCAGGGTTTAGGTTTAGGGGTTTAGGGTTTATGGGTGTAGGGGTTTAGGGGTTTAGGGCTTTAGGGCAGTCCAGGTAGTCGCAATCTGGATTGTTTCGTGGAGTCCTGAAACACTCAGGTATAAGCCTTCCACAGGTCTCTCGTTGCTTGTCTACCGTCGTCCCCCAAGAGATATTGCTGGGAAACTTGCAAGAGCGGACATCGAATTGACGTGAAACACGAGCTAGTGACAGCTAGTGGCTTGTGTAGCACTTTATTTAATTCTATTCATGAAGCACCCCATATGAGAGCCACGCACACATAAAGTCCCGCAAAATCCTAGAAGCTTTTGTGTTCTTCGACGTTTTTGTGTGTACGCCCAACCCAGGACAAGGGCGAAAGGCACGCTGCCAAGTTGCACCTGAAGGCCCGCTTCGGAGTTCTCGTCGGTCGTCTTTAAATTTTGCGGCTTCTGCTTATCGTAAATCCCTCACGACACTCCTGCGGAGTACCCATGTAGGTTTCCTCTTTGCGGCGCTGAGATGAGGCTTTCACTATTAGAGGTTATTGGAGGTTTGGCATGGAAATCTTTCGCCTGGAGAGTCCTGCACCCTAAACTGGCAGGCTCAGAACCTCGCCGGGACCCGGACCTGCCAACCTCTAAGTAATGGCTGAAAGCACGTCCCGCCACGCACCGTCCGCCCCATTACCCGATTCCGATAGGAAGGGCTACATGTGAGATGCTGTGAAGGTGTGTTTTGGTTTGTTGACCCTTTCCAGACTTGCTTCTCGATCCGTTTGTTGAAGTAGCCGGATGCATCTCATAGGGCTAGGGTTCAGGCGGCAGCATGACTCCGAGCATCGAAGGCGAGCAGTAGGATAACGGCCAAAGATGGCACATGGCAACTCGCATTTACGGCCAAAGCTTGAGTAATATGGTGGCCTTAATAATTACCTATGCTTTTGTTGGGGTCCTACATTGCAGAAGTGGTGCAGGATGCATGCGCAGCCCACATCAACCTGCTAAGCCCCCTCCATCAGAAGCAACAAAAGCCCCTAAAGGCCAAGCCCTAAGCCGTCAATCCGGAAGAAGCACAACTCTAAAACTTACAGAGCCATTGTTTAGGGTTTAGGGTTTAGGGTTTAGGGCTTCTAAACGCAAAGCTAAAGATTAAATCTTCCTGTCCAGAGGCACCCTTCGACCCCAGCAACTCCCGGGTGAAGGGCCTCTACCCACCTCGGGAGCCAACGATGGAAGGCCACAGCAGGATATGGGGTTAATATAGGGCCTGAACACTTACCAATTCTATTGTGGGGGTTCCTTATTATAGTTATAGTATAAAATACCCCAAAACCCTATTCTAATTATTAAGGCCCCTACATGAAGTTTTTTCAGGGCTTGGAGATAAGGCAAGACTCAGGGTTCGGAACCGTTAGGCTGGATTCTTTTCATTTTCGGAGATGTTTTAGCCACGGCTCATTGCACGGAGAGGATCGGAGTGCATCGGGATAACCAGGGTTTACGGGATTACATTGAAACAAATAGTATAGTAATAGTATCTCCTTGCCGACTGTGCATAGTTTTAATTTCGGTGCGTCCCTCTCCGCCTCTGCCCAAACCCTCCATGGGCATCGGGCGTGCGTCATTTACGGCTGGGGATTCAGGCATGTATGGGACAGGGCGCTACAGTAAGCGCTTTCCTGGAACAGCTGCTCGCGATATTCGTGGCTACTGTAGGGGCCTTGATAGTTAGAATCGGGTTTGGAGTGTTCCTTATGATAATGATAGTATCATATACCCAAACCCTATTCTAATAATCAAGGCCCCTGTATTAGAGTCGTCCAAAAACGTGAGTCCCTAATCCTGGAACCCTGCCTAGCAGACTTCCGAAGCCTCCCCGCAGGCAGCTACGAGAAGCCCAGGGCTGCGACTGTGTCCATGCAGGTATGAAGCAGGCACGGGTTTGGGGAGGGTTTTGACTTTCTGGTTCGACCTTATATATAACCCTAACCACCCAAAAAACGCCAAAAACCCTAAACACCCTAAAAACCCTAGAACCCCCAAACACCCTAAACACTTTAAAAATCTTAAAAATCCTAAAAAACCCAAACACCTTAAAATCCTCAAAAACCCGAAAAACCCCCAAAAACCCTAATAAACACCCGAAGCCCCCCGAAAAACCCTGGGAAGATCTGGCCGGGCTCTGCGTTGCCCCAAATAAAAACTCTTGAAGACAGAAACCCCTAACCCCCCAGGTACCTGCTAAAAAGGGGCCCTAGGGGCTCTAGTACCCTTTATAGTAGGTACCTGGGGGGGTTAGGGAACGCTTCGAGACGGCGAGAGGCTGCATTGCTTCTGGGCAGCTTATGGTCGAGGCTTTACCTATAGTCTCCATTGTAGTTCCCTGTTGTTTGGTTTAACCAGTTTTATGTTTAGGATCCTAAAAGGTAACCCCAAAAAGGAACTACAATGGAGACTAGCCAAACTTCGCGAAACTTTCGACAAGACTCATCAGGACAGGACAGGATAAGACAGGACAGGTAGTGAGTTGTTGGATCCAAGACTGGAATTGAGAGAGGGCAGCAAGATTCAGAATAGATATAGACATAGAAGAAGTATGAAGACTTAGTACCGCCCTTCCCTACACCTCGTTGTTCCAATTATGTTGTAGCCTACCTCCCCGAAAATAATCCTAACACTGCAGCACAGCAGCTGAAGATGCTTTGATCTCTATCCTTTGGCTTGCCTCGCAGGCTGATGGACGGCATCTGAGCGGCTGCCACCTTGCAAAATTCTGCGAAGCTTGTTTTTGCTCCTTGCGATGAATTGAAAGCCCGAGGCCTATGTGGAGCATTTGTTGCTCTCAGTGTCTCATATATACAGTAGCACGAAACAGTGCGGGATCATTCAAGATGGTGGAGTGGTTGTGCTCTCACCTGTATACTGTGTCCATAGCCCCGCGGCGACCTTGACAGCATTCTCCATGAGGATCTGTTTTAGTGTCAGACCGCCTTCTCGAATTTCCAAGATAAAGAAATCATTGCATAGCGTTGCTGAAAAGTGCCACAAGCCTTTCGTGCAGACAACCAATTTAGAAGGAGGCTTCACCTGCATTGGTCTTGCTGAACCTGGTTCACTCAATCGGCTTCCCTAGCACCCCTCCCTTGAAGAAAGTCAACACGAGACCGACGGTCGAGCACAACTGTAAGCAGCATGCGCAATTCTGCTGCAGCTGACCAGGTTAATTTCTACAGTTGACAGGATGTGACCAATCTTGGGTTGGGGTTCGGTGTCGCACAACACCGGCCAAAGGAATGCAGCGCTAGCTGGCAGGTAAGCTGTCCAATGTTGGATTTGGGGATTTGTTGGGCTACACACCGGGACTTCCAGGGCATGCGGCGGTGATGCGCTATCCTTTGATTTCTGCCGAGGCACTTTCAGACCAAGTAAGGGCGATCATAACAAAGTCAACATGCCCAGGCCCTAAAGATCCAACACAAGCTAAACACCCAGCAACGCTGAATCCCTATATGGTATATGAACCTTAAACCCTTTTAGGGTTCATTTCGTCCTAACGCTAGGTAGTAGGTACATCCTAGGATCTTCAGACCTCTGCAGACCCGGTCGGAAGCCGTGATCACAAGGGGCAGCAGATACTGAATAGAACACGGCATGCACTTTTTGGGCAGCGTTTCTGTGCGATTACATGACCTCTGGTGTAGTGGCCGAAATACCAGAAAGGGAAGACTTACTCAGAACCACCACTTCGCACAGCTCTGCCACGCCGTCGAGATGCTGGCACGTCTGCCTGCAGCTGCCAGCACGGGCATCGGGTTTTGCAGGCTGCCGCTGTCGCTTGCATATTGCTCAGGCGACAGGCCCGTAAATTATCAGAGAGAGAGAGAGACAGAGATAGAGAGAGAGAGAGAGAGCGGAACAAGAAAAAGTCTAATCTACACCAGGGTCAACTATTCCCCCAACCCAGTCTGCGACCTAAACCTTAGTCTGAGTGTAGATCTACTGCTGCTTTTGCTCTTTAAAGATGGAGAGCTCCAAGCTGTTGGCTCACCGCCGTGGACATGTCGGCAGGCTATGCAGCAGTTTCGCTGCGTCACAGGAGGCCGGGGACACATCGGCTTTCAGGATTACCGTCGCTTCTTTTGTTGCGAGAAGAGCGCTGCTGCATTGCTGTCGTCGCTTATCCTCTCTGATTCTGGCGCATGCGGTTGTGGCATCAGTCTTCCGGAGGTTGAGGTTCTGGTGGCGTTCGGGTCTTGGGTGGCAGTGGTGGTTGTGGTGCTTGGGGCGTGCCGGGAAAGGGGGGGTGCCACTGACTGCTTTCTACCTGTTGTGCCAAGCTGTTTGCAGGGCACAAGCTCAAAGAGGCTTCGGGGGCTGCCTGCCCGATGCAAGTGAAAGCTTAGATGAAGTGAAAGTTAGGAGCACAGGTTGTCGTCGCTGAGCCCACGCACTGCGCAGGCCATGACCCGGGCAGAGGGTATCATCCAGCGCACCAGCCGGCTCTTCATTGATAACAAGTATGTGGAGGCAAGGGCAGAATTCCGAAGCTTTTGAATGCCATTTGTCGGGCACTTGTGGTGTCAAGCAGCACAACTACTTTTGTGTTCCGTAGTTGAGCATATCCCCCGGAACGTATAGTTTAAACTTGCCTGTACTTGTCAATCTCCATGAACCTGGAAGTACAGAGATCTTGCCCACTTCGATGACCCCTAGCTCCGGTATCCAGGCCGAGAACGGTGCACGATTGCCGGTTCTCTCACCCACGGACGGCAAGTCTTTTGTACTTGCCTCAGAATCAGAAGCTTTCACTGATGCACGACCGACAGGAAGCGACCCACTGAGACTGTATCCCTGCCCCGTCGCTTTCGCCTGCGTTTGCCACCAGCAAGCTGTAACAAAATGTTTCACCGTGAACCCGAGAATATTGGAACGCGGAGTGAAGATGCTTCGTTCCGGGATTCCTTATACTGTAGGCCATGAGGGCTATACTATTTTGGGGGTTCCTGAATATAATTATAATATAATGGGCCCCAAAACCCTACTCCAATTATTAAGGCGAATGATGCTCCAAATTTCAGGCTTCTACTGCGATGCGCAGTCCCCAAACCTCCGAGTTCAAGCCGGAAATGACCCAGAAGTGCCTAGAGTCTCCATTGTAGTTCCTTTTTTGGTTTTACTAATTCTATATCTATATTAAGGATCCTATAACCCTAAACCCTAAACCCTAAATGTAAGGTAACCCCCAAAAAGGAACTACACTGCTAGGCCAGCATTGCGCATGCATCAACTGGCGACGTAGATCGGGCGGTTCGCTCTGCGAGGTCGGATGCCCAGCAGTTTTTTCAGAGATTCAGAATGTAGTGAGTAGGGTTTATCTTTTAGGGTTTAGGGTTTTGGGTGAAGTGCTCCAAGGAGGTAGTGATATTATCGCAGCTAACGGCCGAGTGGTCTTCTTCGTGCCTTTGTTTATTCTGCCTCGTATGTCTTTTGCTGTCCTGAGCAGCATACCTGTGCGGGTCCCGCTTCTACGTCTAGATTGTCCAACATGAATGCATGAAGATCATAACCTTAACACAATTTCAATCTCAGTGGCTCGTGTGGGGAAACTAAAAACGAACATGTCATGGCACATTCGGTCTTTAGATTTTGGAGGGTGCCGGCTCTTTCAATGGGGTTCAGGAAATGGAAGCTAAACGGAAAGGAATCGCAATTTGCATGTTTCCTCAAATTCCAGTTTGAATTGTACTGTTGGCTATGAGTAGCCTAGCTGCATGAAGCTGTACCTACTCACAATGCCAGCCAAAGCACCTTCGTAACGCTACTTACAACTAGCCGTGAGCTTGTAAGGCTGCAACCAGTCGGTGAGCACAGTTTTTAATTCTCTCCCTAGCCCCGCCTAAACCCCAAACCGAGTCATTGGTGTACTCCAATGCAAGAAAGGTCCGTGGATTAGAGCAGCCTCTGCAAGCTCAGGCGATGCTTTGATGAAGGAGACTGGGCATCGCGCTCTCCTGAGGTTCGGGTTGACAGTTCGAGCTTTGGTTGAGGAGCTTTGGTTGAGGGTGGAGAGTAAACCCTAAGCCCTAAACCGAGACCCTATTGAGGGTTGGGGTTCTAAACCCTAAACCCTAAACCCTAAACCCTAAACCCTGTTTTGAGCTTTGGGAATCAGGGTCGGGGTTCGGCGGAGCATAGTTCCACGGAAGGGGTGGCGGCCTTCTGGTCACCGTATGTCGCCGTGCAAGAAATCCGACTACGAGACGCCCCCCCCTAAACCCTAAACACGAAACCCTAAACCCTATAAATCCTAAATCCCTATAAACCCTATAAACCCTATGAACCCTATGAGCCCTACAAACCCTAAACCCTAAACTGTCCACAATTACAAAGAGCTTGTTGCAGTCCTTGCCCCAGGCCTTGACAACGTTCTGTTTGCGGGTTCCTGGAGTCCAGGCTCTTCCGGAGTAATATAGGGGCTTAAATAATTACCTATACTATTTTGGGGTTCCTTATTATAATTATAGTATAATGGGCTTTAAAACCCTATTCTTATTATTAAGGCCCCTATATTATGTAGTCTCTAACTTCGCTGAACATACAAAAGCTCTGCAATAATTTCCGGTGGCAGACATCGGCTCTTCGAGGACATTGCAAACAAATCTTGCCTAGAGGCAGCGGTTGCATCTGCCGCAGCAGCGGTGCTGCCTCTTTGTGGGCCACCAGCTGGAGTGGCAGTCTTGCTGATGAGCCTCATCCGCAAGACTCGCAAGACTGTCACTCCAGCTGGTGGCCTGATAAGCTGAGACAGCCTTTTCGGCTATTGGACAATTGAGCCTTGCAGATCTCTGGAAGGTGCTGGTGGATGAGGTGTCTGCGGCGAGAGTGCCCGAACCATGGGATGATGGGATGCGCACTTAAAGGACCCCAGCACCTCGGCGGTGCATGTCCGTTCCGAAATCAAACCGCAAGAGTGTCGGCGGGTGCTCAAGCTGAGGGGGCCTGTAGCCGAATCCTTCATGAATGACAAGGAGTTTGTCAGTCTGGGATGTTACTTCGCGACACCGCATGCTTTGTGCCAGAAAAGCTACGGGTTCGACTGTACCCGAAGCCCACTGCAGGGCATTTCGCACTCGATAAATTCTGGCTTTTCTGGTTTCCAGACGAATACTGTCTACTGCGACACAGATCAGCATCGAGTTTTTGGGCACCAGTTGGGGTGGAAGCTTTTGGCAACAGAATTCGGAAAATCCCTCAGCAAAGAGGCCATGACGCGGCCAGCCTCCAGATTCATGGGGCAGGGCGATGTGCCCGCGGCAACCTCAAGGGTGTTTGTGAGACTGGTCAACAATACTTCTGAGTCTGAGTTGGGTAAAGCATGGCAATTGCGGCAGCAGCTGCCTTACACGACCGAGATCTACTTGCTCATTCTCCTTGAATCCCTCGCGAAAGAATTTCTCGAATTTGGCTCTGTGGTATCGTTGATAGTCTCTGGTTTGCCGGGCAAAGAAGCCCTCCGGCTCCCAACCGCGTGTGCCCTCAAGATTTCTGCTCTGAATCAAAGCAACAATCCCAGGTGCACACGCGATGCGAGGGAGTAGATCTCGGTCGTGTAGGGCAGTGCCATCTTGAGCTGTTGCCGACTTCTTGAACTTCAAGCAGCGCGCGGCCCAATCCGTGGTGACTTCACGTGAAGGGGGAGGTGTGATGGCGCACACCTTCACATCAGAAGAGTACCAGGATACACCGGAGGCAGGTCGCAACCCCCTGGTGCATACCGGCGGGCGAGATTGCAAGGCAGTTGCCGCTGCCATCAGGCTCTGGTCCGGAGAGGATATCGCAGTTCGAACCTGCCATTCTTTCGCGCAGCTGTGCCCACACTTGGCACTACGATGGTGGTGATCCAACATTCCAGCTCTTCGCCCGTCACTGGCTGGTGCCTTCGGCTCATTTTGTAAAACGCAGCTGGCAACATTGTACTGCGGCCTGAGTCTGTCTGTCACTGCTGAGACGAAATTCCTAGTACTTCCCACAAAAGCCAGCATAGCGGTGTATGTGCGTCAGACCGTGTCAGACCGTAGATTTCCCAGAGGCCGTGGTCAGGCTTCCTCGGCCGACCGCATGTTTCCGAAGATCACCCATTAGGAACAGAAAAAGGACATAAGCATAAGCATTTTATCGGGATATCCCTACCTTATTGGGCTTCATTATAAGGGGTTTATATGGGATATCCCTATCCTAATTTTTGCCTTATGTGCTTTTTGGGGGCCCTAACCCAGAGTTGCAAACCGAGCGTACGTGGGAGCCTTGACCAGCCCAACTCGACAGGCGAGGGCCGAAGTCTTGAAGAAGGTGGCGGCAGCACTTCGATCACCGGAGGCCCATGCTGAAGTAGCAGAGTAGTAGTACAGCTCTTTCCGGGTTTGACGGGTGTGTGTGTGTGTATATATATATATATATATATATATGTGTATGTGTGATGGTTTGTGCATTGTTTTGAGTTTGAGAATTTGGATTTTTCGAGCTTTCCGATTTGGAGTTTGGTTGCTTCGACCACTGAGACTTGGTGTGATGATACGGGTCATTCTGCTTTGCTCCTCAGGCGTGCAGTGAGTATCTTTAAGTGTGACGTTTCCGGAAGCGAGCTTGTAGTCGCGATGAACCCCACTTGCAACCATTCAGTTGTTCGTGCTTCCAAGAGTTGGTGCATCGGCAAGGGTCACAGTTGTTAACTTGTTGCTAGATGCTTTTTGACTTCTAGGGGCTTCCGCATGAAGGGCCTGTGGGGGGGGTTTAGCATTTTGTACGTTGTAGTGGGATGGGTGCAACTTGTGCATCCAGAATGTAGACATGTGGTGGTGCATGGACATGAATTCGTGGACTCCAGCACTTGTAGGTCACACTGATGTAGCCAAATCGAGGGTTGTGCCAGATTCTGGTGGGCGGCATGGGATTGTTTCTCCCACAACTGTATTATCCCGAATCCCTTTAAACATCATGCTCTGAATTGTTCTGCCATGTAGCAGCTTGGTGACATGTCGGCGCAAGGGCTGTGCGGCTGTGTTCCGAACCTGAAAGCCCTTACCCGAGCATCACGGGTTCGCTGCACAGTTCTTTTTACTGCTTTCGCTGACAGCTCATGGCTACAATTTTATGGAAGCCAATGAATCTTCAGGTATGTATCGTGCACGGAACTTCACGACTTACAGAAACTATCGGTTGTGATGTCATTGGGACTGACGTCAGACCAACAGCTCGAAACACCCAGTTGCCGATAAGCCAGCCATGATCTTCGGTACCAGTCAAGAGACCATGATCGAGGCGGCATAAATCCGCTCTACACCCAGAAACCCTAAGCCCTAAGGCCGGAAACCCTATAGACTCTAAACTCTGAAACCCCAAACCCCAAACCCTAAACCCCAAACCCCAAACCCCAAAGCCCAAAACCAAACATGCTAAGCAGCTCGAGGCTCAAGGCCCTCCAAAGTTGAAGCGCTAACCTCGGCATTCCGAGAGGTGCTGGAAGCCTTCTGCGCGCAGCGCTCGGCAGGTACTCTAGGCGTCGGAACAAGTAGTAAGAAGATCCCATAATTTCCACCTATTGTCTCTATACAGTTGGAGAGTTATACATAAGTTATCCGTATACTATATCATATTTCATAACCCTGTGAAAACTGTGTAGGCCCATATGCTAGTGAGTTTGGGGTTTAGGACGCTTTAGGGCTTAAGTCTTAGGGACTTCGAGGCTGTAGGAGGTTTGGAGTGTTGGGTTAGAGGTCTACAGGGGCGTTGGGGTTGGTGGGTTTGCGGCTTCGGCCCGATATCCTAAACCGAAACCCCAAACCCAAAACCCAAAGTCCTATACCCTAAACTTAAAACCTAAACCCAAATCCCTAAAATCCTAAACCCTAAACCCAAAGCCCTCAGCTGTCCGGGAATCTGCAAGTTTGGAGGCTTTTGGGGCTCGTGGGTTCAGGGTGTGCGAAAGAGGGCAGGGCGTCAGGGTCGATTTGGGAGTTTCCGAAAACCTGAGAATAAGGATCCTACTATTTAGGGTACTATATTAGGGTCCCCTATTTTCGGAAACCCCCATTTCAAGGTTTCGTGATTTTGGACACCTTTACAGCCCTTCAACCATTTCGAGACAGGGAAGGCCGGTGTGACCCGGTTCGGGGTTTTGGGCCTTCCTTAAGAACCCAAAACCTACTTTTTTGTAGGGTCCCTATAAATCCCATATTAGGGTTTGTAATAAGAACCTACAAAAAAGTGGGTGTTGGGTTCTTAAGGTTGAGCACCCGAAAGAGAGTGAAACGAAAGACTTCATCATGCAGCCGCACATGGTGCGTATGCTTATGAGATCGTATAGGCTATAGGCCTTATATAGGTTATAGGCCTTACACCCTAAACCCTCATTAAAGCCTAAACCCTAGACCCTAAACCCTAAACCCTTAACCCTAAACCCTAAACCCTAAACCCTAGACCCTTAAGGCCTACAGAGCCTCAAACCTCAGGTCATAGAAAGCCGAGATTGCGGAAAGCCTTTCGCAGAAAGCACGGCCCCTAGGAAGGAAATGCGGTCGGGTGCGTGCTAACTAATCACGTGAAACAAGCAGTTGGTTAAGGGTTGGGGGCAACACGAAATCCTAGACCGTCTCCGGAGGCGGCAAAAACGTCACTAACCCTCAACACTATCTTCCTGCAGCCATGCCTCAAGGTTTCCTCCCGTGTTTCCCGCACGAGATGACAAGCAGCCCCGTTCAGTAAGTTGTTCGTCCCGACAAACCTGTTGCTGTTTTCGGTGAGTAATAGTGGAGAGATTCATGTCGATGTCCATGAGCCTTGAAACTGGAATTTGTCTGAAAACAAGGCTGCAACAAGCATAGCATGCAGTAAGTCGAAGACGAGCAGACATGAGAAGAAGCAAGGCTGAAAGGTTGATCTGGAGGCGAGGAATGAGCTTGTCGGGTTCAGCTGAAACCTCTGTTCTCAGTCTAACCATATAAATGAAGGCGTGCAGATGCATGCTTGCACAACCGCAACAACACGTCGTTTGCGAGCTTGAGTCTTGAGTCGATGATGAATCGGGTACTTGGCTTGGAGAGCTTATAGTGTGGCGCTGCGCACTGGTGTTGCGTGAAGTATCTTCGAAGTGTGTACCCACACATTCGTTGGATTTTGCGACCGGAGGTTGTGGTGCAGTGTCTCGTCTCAAGGCATGATCGGTGTTTCTTGGTAAGATAATACTTAGAGCAGGGTTCGGGGTATATTTACATGAGGGATTCGGATAGTAGAAATTATTGTCAAGTATTCGACCCCTCCCCCTTTTGGAGCCAAACACCCCTGGATCATCGAAGCCCTAAGCCCTAAACCCTCAATGTCACCTTAAACCCGAACCCCTGAATCCTGAACCACAGCTCCCTACATAATACATGGGTCAGAAAAATGAGCACCAATGTCACCTTACAGGCAGTGCATTAGTATACTGTAACATCTCACAACCCAACACCCTTTTCTAACCTAAACCTGAGGTCAAGGAGATCTCGGCGTGTGTGCAGACACCTTCGACTATTATGCCCAGGCGGACATCTGTTTGGGGTTGAGCAGTGTCTTCTTGCGGTAATGGGCAGATTTGCATAGCCACATCTGAATCCCCAACCTTGCAGATCATATACCGTGTAAAGGCATGCACTCTATGACTCTATGCTTAACCCCAGTCTGTAGAAGGATTGAGGCATGGAGCCAGGTCTCTTGGCAGGCTTGTACTTTTCAGCCCATGCCACGTAGGTATTGCGATATGATGTTTTGGAGCCTCCTAAGCTCCTTGTTTAGACCATCAGGCTTAAGGGAAAACACAAGCATCGTAGACTTATGTGCAGGTTCCGAAGCCCCGTTCGAGCTCTGTCCAGACCCCGATATCTACTTGTGGTGCTGCTAGGCCCTGCTAGGCTTTGCTGCGCGAAGTTATGCTTGTAGAGTTTCAGAGGCAAACGTCGCCATCGCAGACTCAGACTCCCTTACCCTAAATTATCCCCAGAAGCCAAAGATGAAACGCTGAAGTTTTACATCCCGCACCCGCCCCCTTATAGTCTCTGGACCTTGGACATTCGTGAAGAGGTACACAAGATCCATGAGTCGGTTGTTTAGAACACCTGGCCGAAAGTCAAAACCTTATAGAGCCATCAGGAGACCCATGCTGAAGTCCTGAAGTGCCCACCCCTGAAGCCGGAACCTTTATGTAGGCAACCCTATGTGCTTAACCAATGCCTGAAGCCTGAAAGAATGATATAGGGGTCGGAATAACTCTTACAAATATGCAATAACGCAATAATATACCCGACATATTAAATTATGTATAAGGCTTCCATAGTAGCAGGTGACGCCCACGGAGATGCAGCCAAAGTCGTTGGCTCTCCCAGAGGGCGATGCCGCGGATTTCGTAGCGAGGCTTCGGCTCTGGGTGATTTGGGCCCCGGGGTTTATAGGCTTTACCCATAGGCCCCATAGTAGTTCCTTTTAAGGGATTACCCTATAGGACCGGATTCTAAATATGAGCCCAAAAAAGGAACTACTATGGGGCCTATGGGTAGGGTCCCTAAAACCT